CTATCAAAGCCGAGGTTTGAAACGATCCGAACCAGATAATTCTGATGAAGATGACTTTTGGTCGGCGATGATTACTTACAAAATCAAAGTTTTGAAAACCTTTAAAGGATCGTTTCATAAAAAAGAAATTGTTGAGCAAAAAACCCCAGCCGGTGAGGGTATCTGTGGGGTGGACCTTTACCTCAAAGAAACTTACCTCCTGACTAATAGACTGAGCAGCAACCGTCAGTTGGAAATCTACCTGTGCAGCTGGCATGAGCTGTGGGGAGATGAGACGACAAAAAATATCCGCAAGGCCAAGAAGAAATGTTGATCATTGTTACTGTTGGTCAAGTTCGCGAGATCGGTTATAAGCGAATACTGGGAGAGTATCATAGAATGGTTTATTGGCCCTTTGAAGCGGCTTGTAATCCCATTTATTTGTCAGGTGTTGGAAATAAAGAGTGTATAACGCGTAAGAGCTCTTTATCGTTTCTTGACATGTAGCTGGGGGGGAATGGGACTGGAAGTACCTCATGTGAAAATTGAAGTCCGCCATGGAGCGTGTTAACGAGTTGCATGCTCAGTCTTCATTGGGCAATTTATTCTCTCGTCAACACATCTGGTGGTGATGTTTTAAAGCCGTCTGTTGCCATTACCAGTTAATGAACCAACTCCTATCTTAGATCTCCTCGGACCAATGTTTTGCGAAAGAAATATCAATAGTGATGGCTACACTACATAACTCTGATTAACGTAATAACTCGTTCCGCTAAGCACCCTTTCTTTGTGATAAGCACTCCCTCAAATTTGTTATTGTGAATAACAATAAGCGCCCCTACTCCGTTTACATGATAGCACTGTGAGGTTACATGTGCATTGAAATCAACCATTAGGTAGTTCATCTTCCTTTAATTGCTCACTTAGAGCCTCATTACCAAAACAGTGGTCCCTGTGCGTGCATAGTTCCTTCAAACGAATTATGTAGTCTTTAAAATTTTGCGGTGTTTGTATGGCTGGTCTTTCCAGACCGAAAGGATCCAGAGAAAATTAGTCTATTCTCCAGTCTTCTTGTTCTTTTTTAAAATTAAACACCACAGCTTTGTTTCGCTCATTCTGCTGTTTCTCAAAAAAGGGATAGGAAAAAAAAAGCGCCCTTGTCCCTAATAAGCCCTCTCGCTTGAGGTACCAAATCGATACAAAAAAGTTTACAAGTGCCTTGGGCCCTAAATCAAATCATTACGGCAATTGATAAAGAGGCTTCTGTAGGAATTGAGTATTGCAGATGTCTACCTAAACCATCCAATGGAAAGATAAATTTATATAATTAAGGCTATATAACGAGGAAATCCCAACCTACTTGATAAGCGGTAAAAGCAGGGTATCCTAATCCATATTAAGTGACAAACACCTTGTGTATCAGGACCGATGATTCACTTAATCGCGTTTAAAAATCAAGGTGCCGTATTAACCAACAATTTTTTTTTTAGGGACCCTTAGAAACCCCGACGGCGACGCCAAGGAAGACTTCGATTAAAAATGAATTTCTACTCTTAGTTAGAATTTCAAAAATGGCTGCAGGAGCTTACTGTTTCATACAGCGCCACAGCTCAACTTCAGCGTGACGCATAAAATAGCCGTTGAGTTCCAAATGGAAATTAAAATAATTTGTCGTCACGGTTTCGGTTCGCAGATGACGCAAATTTTGGCGATTTCACGTTGTTGTTTTGCATAGGACGGCTAAGAAATGTACAAAGTTTCAAAACGCACGTGCTGAGCTATTGTTCTGCCAATTAGATCTCTTGTTTTTCCACTTCCTCGTTGCCGTCGCCGTCGTGGTTTCTTAAGGTCCCCAATGACATAGTTTCCTGGCAGCTGCCAAATCAGCAACGTCATTGTACTTTAGTGAAGTTTTCAACATGTGTTTCAAGCGAGAGCTGGTCGCTAGCCATTGGCAGGAATCAACAAAGCGTGAGTCTAGTTTAAAATGGTCAATCCAGTAACCAGACCAGGCAGCTTTAAGTGAACAACTTCAGTACACAACAACAACAACAACAACAACAACAACAACAACAACAAACAGCTTTATTTCTTCCCGGCGACTGTCTAATCTAACCGCCATTTATGAAATATTTAATCTTGAAAAACATTAAGAAAGACGACTGTTAACCTGGAATAACCAAGACGATAAAGTGATCAACACACTTGCAAATGTATTTACTATCATTAATGCTAGTTCCAGGAAACAGCCAATCGATGTAACAATTAAAGTTTTGAATTTTCAGAAAAAGTTGTTGAGCAGCGATGTTAAGCAAAGTGAGGCCCTGTTAGGGGTTTTCGGGATACGGGAAATTCGCGGAAAAAAGTTACCGGGATAAGGGATATTTGAGGAAAAAGTTATTCGGATACAGGATATTGAGAAGTAGTTTCAGGGATACGGGATATTCGCAAAAAATTGTAACTATCAGATGTTTGATGAGAAACGTTCTTGGATTACTAAAAATACATCCCTTTTTCTGTACTTTTGTTGATGATTAGATATAAATGAAAAATATATAAGTGTAAAACAAACCGTTTTTCATTTTCTTGACCAGTCATCGGCTCATCATGGACACTATGTAAGGGTAACGTGAAGTACTAAAAATACCGCGCCAGCACTCGATCGAGGCAGCGCCACCTGATCGAGGCAAGACCTCTGTAATCGCGCAGGTCAAAGTCATTCATGACGTTACGGCGTGTATTTATAAAATCAACTGCGACAAACCAGTCTCCAAATGGTCCTTTCAGACAAAACTTGAAGAGCAACAAAAGGGTAAACTTGTTGAACGTTTAAAAGTGTCATCCGGCCTGGTGAAGCCAACGAAGGAGCTCGGAATTTTTAACTTCAAAGTAAAACTTCATTCAGTACAAGCGAAATGTGCCCGAGGCTGAGTTTCCGAAGGGACGAATATTTGCAATTGATAGTCAAGATCAGTTCGAAGTTGTCAGACCTCTTCTCCAAGCTACTTGAAAACGATACTTTTCCAGTTTACGTTTCAATGCCAGTGAACGAATATTATAAAATATATCGTAGCAAGTAACATATGAAAAATCGCGATACTTTAATTTCCGGGATATTTGTAACCGGAATTTATGGGGTACGGGATATTTGGTCAAAAAATTACAGGGATACGGGATATTAAGACCCCCCCAAATGGGGCCTCCAAAGTCTCAAATAATAAATTTTTGGAGATTTTTTTTTTATGATAATAAAATATTCAAAAGTATCTGCATTTTACTCTTTATTGTTATATTTTTCTTGGTTAATTCCAGAGCATTCAATGATATGAACTGTTACCTCTCTAAAACTACCAGCACTCTATACAACAGACACTTTTCTTTCTCCTCAAGGTGGTCGTTGTAGAAAGTTCATATTGTATAAATTATGTTCACCAAGCAGTGCACCAACTTCCAGTTACAGGTGTTAAAGGTATATCAAGCGTGTAACTATCACCAACATAATTTATAACTACTCTACAAACAGTTCGGGCCTTGTAACAGAACATTCGATCGAAGGTTTAGCAGCTTCAGTTCAGAGCTTAAGAATTTACAGAGAATTTAAGGTAATGGCCTTGAACTACTCAAGTTACAAGTTTTATTACTTCCTTGGAATGTAAACATTAAAAGGCAGAATCAGATGCAAACTGAGAGATAGACTTGTGTTGCTTTTAATAAATAGATGATTTTTTAAATTTCTATAGGAAAATTCCTTACCTGACGAGGGAATTCCGCGTTAAATTGCACGCGAAAACCGATGTCGCACGAATCACGAAAAAAAAGCATATAAAAAGCATATATAAAAAAACAGCATATATTTCTGGTGTTAAAATTCCTTTCTTCCAGGGCAGAGTGGTTCCTCAGCACCATGTAGTGCACACAATGCCCGAGTCCTCCCCTCTGAGAACGACAGAACGGCCGACGGTAACAAATGGGAATACGTGGGCTCTGTGTCAAAGAATCTGAACGAGGAAGTAAGAAAACAAGATTGCAGAAATAGATGCGAACAAATCTGTGTGTAAGAGAGTGAGGGTAGACCGAGCTTCAACAGCTGGCCCAGTTACGTAGCTTTCTCGTCCTGTCGATACTCTGGAGGGGGTACGTGCGATTGCTATGGATGGGACCACAAGCCCGAATGGTGTGCCAGATCAAGGTACCACTCTGGTCGGTGCGAGGGACAATAATAACTGTCAAAGCGTACAAGTATCCGATTTCCCCCTACAAGGCTTTCGGCCAGTGTAATAAATATTTTATGATGCGATATGATATCAAACCTATTTTATTTGCCTGGCCTACGAGATAAACTCATTAAAAGGAATAAGAATGCAGCACTTTTGTTTGCCTGTGACTTCATTGTATTGGTTAAAATATTTATTTTTAAGTCTGAAGATGTTTGTCAAATGGGTGACCTATTTCGTGATATATATATTTTTTTGCCTTTCTTTTTCTTCCCTTTTCTCTATTCATTTCTTTCCTTTCAATTTACGTTATCCTCTTAGGGATATGTTAGAAATGTTCAGAATAAAACGCACATTGACAACGTTTGATGACGTAGCTCTTAAGTTCAAATCGATAACAAGTCGAAATGCAGAGGTGAGATCCTGAACAAACATCGAACTAAACCCGAACAAAACTAAAATGAAACCGAACAGATTCGTTCAACGATGGCCAGAGTCGAAGCTGAACCAGATTACACGAGTCGAGCCAAGTCATACGAGACCTCATGAGTTTCTCACAATAGTCCACCATACGTAAACCGTGAGGGGTTTAGGGGAAGGTTTACGTACGGAGATCCACTGCACAGCCACCTGTCCCTGTCATCACTACAGTTTGCCGCTGAGAGTCACCTCGCAGGCTCGGTACGATTATGTGGTTAGTGCACCCATTAGCCTTTACAGGTGCGCTTAAAACTGTGTCAGGCGTACACTACTGGATTCAATAATTTAAAACTTCATTATAAACAGTTTGGCCTCATTAACAAAGCATTTAATCTCAGGCTTAGTAGCTTCAGTTCAGAGCTAAAGAACTCTTCAGAAATTTTAAGGTAAGTGCCTTTAGGTTTTCCACAATTATATTATTTATTATTTCCTTGGAATCTAAATTTTGGGAGGCGGGTCAGGAAAAAAACTAAAAACTTAAACCTTTGAGAGTTGGGTCGCTTTATTTTTTATTGTTTTGATTTTCATGAACATCTCTGAATTTTTTTACTGTTCCGTGCTTTAGATTTCGTTGTGTACCCTCGAAGATCTAAGATTAATCAATGAATTACAAATACTGATTGATCACTTTCTTCTTTTCGAAAAAGGAATCATTTTTTTGCATTTTGTTCCCAAAACGTAGAAACTATCTCAAAAATACATCACCCGTTCCTTGAATGTGTTTTCATTCCAATTGATTCTAAATTATCAAACAATTCTTTAAGTAATGGTCCGTATAAGAAGTAGGTATAAAACAATAGGCCCGATCCAAATACGGCCGTTAAACATTGAGGTGTTAATCCCTTAATTCAATAAAAATCCTTGAGGCTCATCGGCGGTTTATCGATTGAGCGCGAAATTCATGCTTAACTTGGATGTAAAAACGTAGGAAATGCATTTTTGATGGCTTTGACGATATTAACCTGTTGGCAATGTTGAAAACTACATGACGCCCAAAGGAGAAAATGTTACGAAACGGGGT